CAGGCAATTCTTTATTTCCTTCAATTTTGACATCTCTGTGAGTTAGTTATTATACAATATTATCACAGTCTACTGCTTTCTGACTCATAGTACCCAGGAGACAGTTCAGGAATGAACTTGGACTAGAATTTTATATAGCTTGCTGAGTTTCCTAAAGGTTTTGGTGCCTATTTGTCTATAATCCGGGAAGATCCTTTTCCTTTTCTTTACCACACAATATATTATTTGAATAGTTCAAGTGCCCTGCAATGTACTTCTACAATTTTCTTAGCCACAGGCAACTGCTGTAATGAGAAGTAGATATCTGATCTTATTTGGCAGGTCAAACCATGGTACCGGTCAAAGCTGACTCCTCCTTTTCTGTTCCATCTGCATTATACAGTTTGCTTCTTTGGTTTTTGAAAGCAGGCCAGCTCTTCTCAAATATCTTCCTCTGGGCTCTAATATTCACTTGTTCTCTATATTTATAAATGTAAACACTACGCAATTTCCCCAAGTGACTGAATCACCTCAAAACTACCAAAAAAGGATTTCAAAAGTACAAATGATGTGATCACTGTGTAAGGTACATAAATGTCTACTCACTACGCTGTACATCTGAAACTAATATAATATTGTAGGTCATTAATTAAAAATAAATTAAAAAAAAAGACAAAATAAATTAGACAAAAAGTACATATAATTTGGGAACCTGAGACAGCAATATTGAAACAGTAGGAGGCAGAATAGTGAAGGGAGACTTTATTTTTTGTTTCCAAATACACAAACACACTCACTGATGTAAAAGCGAGACCCACTTCCTATTTTACTAAGAGACTGTGGAAGCGACCCAGAACTCTTATCGCAGCTTTCTCTCCTCCCCATGGAGGTAAGAATACTTGTCACAACTTTTCCAGATGACTAAATTAAATGTTTGTGAACCAGTTTGAGCTCTTTGTTAGAAGGATGTCAGGTACACAGTTCTCTGGATATTCAGGTAAATAATTACAGGGCGTCAATAGTTCTCAGAGGGTGAGTCAAAAGTCTTTGTTACATCAGGTTTTATAATAATTAGGAAGAAGGCACCTGAGTGTTAACCACTCTGAACTTATTTAAAAGCCTGGATTTCCTTAACATACTTTTGCTGACATAATATATGTACAGGATATATAACAAGTCCCTTTTTGATCGGATAGAATAAGCACACAGGTTTCTAAGATTAGCTAACGGAAAAGGAAAAAAAAACCCTAAAATCCTAAACTGATTAAAGATATAAATAGGCATTTGTAAAGATCATAAGTAGTATACTGAAACTGAGAGAGTCATGGGAGTGGAGGAGGGACAAACAGACTGAAGAAAGGACCAAAGTTTCAAGGATGAGACTGAAGAGAGGAAGTGACTCAGCCACAGTGTGGGGAGGAAGTTCCAGTTAGGTGAGTTGTAGGCGATAATATGCCTGGGAGAGCTCATTACCTACAGAAGAGAAGATTCTAGGAGCTCACTGCAGTATCCTCAGGAGTCATGGACACAAAGCACAACAGCAATACTGTAAAAAATATTCTCCCAACAGAGGAGAAAATCTTGGTGTCCTTTACATTTAACACTTGAATCAGTTCTGGTTATTGAACCATAAGAGATTACTGGTATAGCGGAAGCAAAAACTATAAAACATGATTGAGGGGGAGGAAAAATATTCGTATTAGTTTATAAATTAAGTTATTCATCAAATATTTATTGGGGATCTCACTGTCCCAGACACTGGAGGTACAGCTCCAAACAAGAGAGGCATGAGTCCTACCCCTTTAGAAGGCAATCCTGCAGATGAATGACTATGATCTGAGCAAAGCAAGGTCAAGGCTTGCACTGACATTATTAAAAACATAATTAAAGTGAATGCAGACATAGTCAATAGAAATACTTCAACAAGAGAGCATAGTAGAAATTTTAGGAGGGATAATTTTAAGACACATCTGGACAGTTATTGAGGAAGTTAGGGTGGTTGGTGCTAAGTAATTTGCCTATAATTATAATGGAAAGTATGTGAGGGAGATTATGTCTCCTTGGTGGATCATCAGGGACCAGCAGAGTATCTGAAAAATAGTAGCCAATCAAGAAAAACTTAAAAAATAAATGAGTGAAGCAAAGATTTGCAGTACCTGTTATGTGCAGGTGCTAGTATGGGTGTCACTGACCAGTATATAGACAATTTCAATATTGTAACAAGTAACAGGAGAAAAGCATGAGATAATATTAGGATGGGGGTCTCTAAAAAATTCAGAGATTTGAAAAGCTCTTTGGAAGAAGTAATACTTGAGCTGAGTTTTGAAGGAAAAAGGTAAGGGGCCCAGTATGTGTTAAATTCCTGTGAAATGAAACATCATTATGCATTTGAGGAACCAAAACAATGCAATTGGCTGGAGAGAAGAACAGGGTGCCATGATGGCGTAGTGTTAGATTAGGTGATAGGAGCCTCTAGAATTTAAAGGACCTCTATATGCTATTCTAAAATTTGGGCTTTATTCTAAATTTGGTGATCACTGAAAGATTTTAAACAGGGAATGACAGGATCAGATCTGCCTTTTGAAGATTGCTGAGGCCATCTGTGGTAGTGGGAGGTGGGGAAAGAACAGAGGTGGGAAGGTTTAAACTAAGAAATGAATGAAGAAAACAGAATAGATATGGGAGCTGGGTGAAAGAAAGGTACTAGACTGCCAGGCCTCAGGTTTGGAAGTAGTGCCACTTACTGAGATAGATAAGAGAAGAGGAGCAGGGTTTTTTGGTTTTCTGAAGGTGAACGGGGAGGAAAAATACTTTTATAAATCTAGTCTTGACTTGAGCTTCAGTACCAGTGGGAAATATGTGTGCACGTTCTGCTTCCTTTTTTTTTCTTTATTGATTTTAGAGAAAGAGGATGTGAGAGGGAGAGAGAGAAATATCAGTGAGGGAGAACATGGACTGGCCACCTCCTGCATGCCTCCCCTGGGGATTTGGCCCAGGGTTTGTGCCATGATGGGGAATCAAACCAGCGACCTCTTGGTGCATGGGTCGACGCTCAACCACTGAGCCACACTGGCCGGACAGTTCTGCTTCTTTTGATGCCAACATCATGGAGGTTAGTCACACTCACAGATGTTTCTAGATGTATACAGGTCTTGGGATTTCTGAACTTTAGTGTGCTATAACTCCTCAGAAAGGAGTGGGAGGGGCTCATAAGCAGGTTGAATGTTAGTCGTTATAAAATGGAGAAATAATCCTCAATTATACTGTAACCTAAGATCTCATTTCATATATAAACATGGCAGCACGGGTAACAAGTCCAATCTGCTTTCTATTAAGCTACAAGAACAGGAGAACATGATATTCTATGATATGATAGAATAAGATGTATTACTTTGTCTCTTTGAAATTACACTGAATAGGACCATTGGAGATCTTGCTCCCCAGCATATGTTGTCAGCTTGGCTCAAATAAACTCTTACAAATATTTTTTTTAAAGAAAAGAAATTATACCTGGAGTGGTATATACATTCCATAGTGAAAATTTTATTTGTTGTAGAGGAGAAAAAAAAAATGCAAGCAATTTTATATGCAACTTTCCTGTATAGCTGTAATTACTAAACCTCTTTTTCTTATTATGTTGTTAAATATTTTTGTCCAATTTTTCAACCAAATGGTTATTAGCTATATTAACTTTTAGAAACTTACAGTTCATCAAAGATGTTTCCTGGCAACTTAATCACATAAAAACACACACACTATGGTACTTAAAAGATTAACCTTGTTTAGTATGTGTAAATTATCCTCGCTCAAACAACATTTAATGACCTCAAAAAACATCTTTAGCCACTCATCTAGGGTTCTAAGTTGTATTCATGATGCATTTATTTATTTTTTTATTTCCATCAAAAGATTCTAGGATGAATTACATACTTGTAAGCTCATTCACATCTAAAACATCAAATTGTCAGTCTAACCAGTCTCCTTCAACATTATCTTTCTTCCTCTGTCTACCATCTAAAGATCTAAACTGTTTCACTGCCTCTCTATCTCCCAAGGGGGGGAAAAAATCGCTCCTGCTCTCCTCCCCAAACTCCGAAACACCCGGGTCCCGGAATAGGAAACAGGCCAGGCCCAGCGGAACAAGCTGCGATGGGCGACCGGCAGCACAGAATTGGGACCAGAGCCGGGGCTCGAAACGCTGACCGGGAATCTTTCCCCACGTCCGGGAGGATCTGGGCTGTCTGCCAAAAGGGAACGTCTCCAAAGCCCCGGGAACTGACTGGTGCTAAGAACCAAAGAGCGAGTGACAGGCCAAGAAAGCAGCCCGACGCTCTGGGACTGCCCGAAACACGCCAGGAATGCGAAAGAAACGTCAGGAATCCGGGGCTGGCTGCGGTCGACCAGAGCGACCAGCCAAGGTTAAAACTCGGCTCCAAAGGCCGGCACGTCACTGAGACCCTTGGGTGGAGGACGGAGACAGGGGCTGACTGAGCGAGGGAAACGTTACTGGGAAACCGGAGACCGACTCACTCCCTAAAGTCGGGAGTCGGTGGCCGTCGGTCGGGTCCCGCCGCCGGACGCCCGGAGCGAGTCTGGAGGCGGGTCTAGAGGCGGGGCCGGGGCTCGGGCTCCGCCTCTAACGGCAAGCCAGACTGCGTCCTCAGTGCGCCTGCGTAGGGTGAGGCCGCACTCTTATTTGGCAACTAGGCGTGCGGCGGCTGTGGCGTTCTCTACCCGGCATGCTGCGCGGGAGAGACGGCCCTACGTCTATCCCCTTCCCAACCCTGCCCCCGCCCCCCTCCCGCCGCGGCCCCCCCTTTCCCTAAAGTGAGTGAGACGGGCAGATGGAGGAGGGATGGTAATGGCGGCGGCCGGCAGCTCCCTGCTCTGACCCACGGCAGGCATACAGCCACCATCCCCTCCCCGCCCCACTCCCAGCCGGCCTCCGCCCCGCCGCCAGCGCGGGGCCACCCTCCCCGGCCCTTCCCCCAGCTGTCGGCGTTTCGCCCTGCGCCCCGGCCGGGGCCCCGAACACAATGGACGAGCTCGCCGGAGGCGGTGGTGGCGGCCCGGGGATGGCGGCCCCTCCACGGCAGCAGCAGGGACCTGGGGGGAACATGAGCCTTTCGCCAGGGGGGAATGGAGCGGCGGGCGGCGGGGGTCCTCCTGCCGCCGAGGGAGCGGGTCCCGCGGCAGGCCCCGAGCTGTCCCGGCCGCAACAGTACACTATCCCGGGGATCCTGCACTACATCCAGCACGAGTGGGCTCGGTTCGAGATGGAGCGGGCGCACTGGGAGGTGGAACGGGCCGAACTGCAGGTACCTCGCTGGGGTCGGTGTGCGGGACGGCTGCGGTGCCGGGGTTCCCGGTGGGGGGTGGGGACGGGACTTCCCTCTGCGGGAGCCCGCGGCCTTGGGGAGACCAGAAGGACCTACCTGTGTGGCTCAGGGGGCGTTGGTCCTGGCCGCGGTTCTTCCTAGAGTCTCCTTCCCCTTTCCTGCAGAAGGCTGTTCCCCCAGCCCTCCCTAGCTGCGCGGTGCGGGCTGCCTTGGGGCAGCCATTTTGGCTCTTAGTATGGCGTCTGCGGGGGCTCCTCTGGAGGCGTCCTGGCCGGGCCTCCCGGCTTGGGGCTGAACTCTCTGTGGGAGAGTCCGACGTGGGGCTCCTGAACGCCGAGCTTGCTCTTGTTTGTGCCTCTGGAGATGGAGAGCCGAGGAGAAGGACCGGCATGGGTATTTCACCACCTTTCCCCGGGTCCACCCCCCTTTCCGATTTGGCACGTCTGGCCCCCTCCCCTGGAGTTGGTACGCACTTGCCCCTTGACAACCACGCTTTTTTTCAGGGCTGCTACCAAGCCCAATGGCTTGTCGCTGACCTGTGAAGTTTTCATTTCCTACTGCCAACTTTTGAGTACCTTCTTACCTGGGATGCTGCCTTATGCACTTGGATTCCCCTTTAGTTCTTCCTTAGTTTAGGGACTGACTCCTCAAGCCTTTCCATACAGGCATACCTCGGAGATACTGCGGGATCGGTTCCAGACCACCGCAGTGAAGCGAGTGGCAATATATATATATATATATATATATTTGCTGGTGGAGGGTCTTGATTTCTGTTGGTAAAAAAAACGCACGTTTGTGAAGCGCAATAAAGCGAAGAGTATGCCTGTACTGAAATTTCTTTAAGGTACCCCTCAGCAGGCCTGCCCCTCTTCATTCCCTTTACCCGTACAAAGCCAAACCAAGCTGTCTGTGTTGTGTTCGTGAATCGACTGAGAAAAAAATTGTTAGCTGGAAGTAAAATGTTCTTGACTCACGTTATTAACTCACAGAGGTGAAGCCAATTTAAGTATTCTCAGGACCCTTCATAATTAAGCCTGACTCGATCTTCTTAAGGGGAAACTTTGATGGGCTGGTTTACCCAACTTTTGGAAGATATTGGTAGGGCTCATGTCTTGGGTTTCAGAATGGCTACATCCTTTTAAAAGGATCGTTCAACATTTGGGGATATTTATGTTTATTTTTAAATCATTTCCAGGTCAAATTTAGACTTAGTTGAAAAAAAGCATGCATCTAAATAGTGTTGCACCTGTTCTTCAGATTGATGAATGGCAGCAGTATTGTTCTCTGACATATATGTCATTTATGCCTACGGTGAATAGTTATGAAAATGTATTTAAAGAAGGAATTTTGGATTAACTTAGGGTGTCCTCAAAGATTGATTTTGAACTAGTAAACTTTTTTTTGATTCTACAAAGTGGGTAAAGTTAAACTTTTAAAAAGTAAGAGTAGTTATATATTTTGACACTATCAAATTTTGAAAGACTTATAAATTAAAACCTGTTAGTCAATTAAATGATTTAGAATTGTACTTCAATATATTACCGGGCTTTAAAAAATAGAACTTTCAAAAAGCTTAAGTTAAAATTGTCAGTTGTTTCTTTTAACTTGTGTATGTATACTCTACTTTAAAACACCTGGGATTTACAGAGTTCTGTACAACTTTTTACCACACCATATTGCAAACTGAATATTCTGTGTGAGCAGAGATAATAAGGCATTTATTTTTAAAAATTGCATTTGTAAATGCAGTGAGGCTTGGACTCACTAAATAATACTTCACCAGTCTGAAATAGTGTTTATGAACTTTGTACTGTTGTAGGAAAGCTTGGCTTCTACCTCTTTTCAATGTAGCAGTTGCATTAGTCATTCATAAACTTCAGTAATGTAAGTAGCTGAGAAAATGTCTTTTGTCTAAATTAGTAAATTACATACATTAATGAGGTCTAGATTGTCTGCCCTAGTCCTTGCTTTCTCATCTAGCTCTCTTTTTTGACAGTAACAGAAAAGTCTCTAAAGGAATATTTCCTTCTACTTACTTGCTTTCAGTTGATCTCCTATTGGCATATTAGTTCTCATATAGCCATTCTAAGCACTGCCTTTTTTTTTTTTTTTTTGGTTTGTTTGCTTATTTTGAAGAAGTTCTACAGTGTTTCTAGACTTGTTTTTTTTCCCAAGGATTTTCATTATTTCATACAGTTTTTTGGAATAAAATGTTCATAATTGTTTTTATAAGCTTTTATTCTATATATTTCTCTAAAACGTTTTATTGGGTTACTTCTTAATAGGGTTTCAGGTTTGCTTCTGCAGTGTTGACTTTGCTTTAAGTGTGTTTAGTCTTTAGTAAGATTGCTTGTGCACATTTCAAAATGTCTGTTGAATAAAAATTTATTGGGAGGGCTTAAGTGACCCATCAGTGGATTTAAATTGTAAACTTAATCTTATTTTTAAGAAGGATAACAAATAAGTCAGCTTACATATTGTATACAATCATGGGTACACTGTTCATCTATACATATGAAACTACTCAATAATGATGTGATGAGGCTAAGTAAGCTATACCTAATTTTGATGTAACATTTCAATATGGAATCAAGTGTTCTCTGGCTTTGGAAAGGATTTTAAATTGTAACTTTGCAGTATGGTTTTTTCTTTGTAAAAGGAATTTGGAGTAAGGTCTGTTTTAGAAACTTGGAACTTACCAAAGGATTGTGTCTTAAGGCTCTTTTTATCTTTGTGTGGGTTCCTTACCTTGGACTGAAGTATTTGTTAGTAGGGCCGTAGGACTGTGATTCCTGAACAAGATTGCTAGTCATAATCACTTGTAAAACTTAAAAAAAAAAATGCAGACCTTTGCCTCACCCTCCAGAGATTTGGTCTAGGATTTAAGAAAAAATTGACTTTGTGGGATTTTGGCAGTTCATGTTATGTAAAAATTATAACTGCCATTTAATCAGCATTATAAACTTATGTAGGTATCATTTCTATTTTACCGATGAGGAGACAAATTTAGGTTAAATAACTTTGCCAAGGTCACCCAGCTATAAAGTAGTTTAGTTAATACTTGAACCCAGGTTTGTCTGAATTCAAAGCCTGTGTTCTTATTACCGCTCCTGTAATCACTATATTATATGGTCATCTTAGCACTTTTCTTAGAAATGAAATCTGTCCTATAATTCTTTGTCTACCATTATATAGCATATACCTTATAGCATATAGTACATTTCAACAAAGTTTTTTTGAGCCCCCATGATGGTATCAAGTGTAGTTCATGTGTATTGGAAACATGTTCTTATATTTCTTTCTGTAGTTGGTATGTAATAAAAAATGCACATATGATGTGATATATACAAAATGCTTGTTAGTCAACTATAAAAATATGACATAGATAATACATAGAAATTATAGTCCAAGAATTTGTATTCTAAAACTAATTCTTCAGCAGTTATAAACATTTTAATTAGTGTTTGTGTTTGCACACACTGGCATACAAATTTGTCGTAACACGACATACACTGCTACCTAACAGTCTTACCTTGTAGGAGATATTTCGCTCACATGTACTTTGATTTCTTCATTTTTAAGTGGGGAGAACTTTGTTTCCCCTGCGCTCTTTCCTTTTATTGTCAGCATTTTCTAAGGGTAGTCAAGAATGATGATTTGCAAATTCCTGTGCCTTTTCTATTACAAGATTTTTATGATTCTATGAAATGCTGTTGTGTAGTTTCCTATTTCAAATGATGGTGTCAGTAGAGTAAAAAATATTTTATTTGATAGGATTAAGAGTTTGCGACCTTATGTTTCATTTTGAAAGACTTGAAAACCAAAAGTCTAGGGTGGTGATTTTCAACTGCTGTGCTGCAGGAATTTTTAAAGCATGTAATACCTAACTACTTAGTTAAGGGCACTGACCTCTTTTCCCTTAGATTGTTAAATAAAAAATGACAGCAGCCAACACAACAATAGCCATTCAGTCTGAATGAATCAAAATTATACCTATTTTTTGGTCAGATCGGCAAAAATATACTCTTTGGGTGTGTTGTGGAATGTTAGTAATTATTTTATGTGTGCCATGAGATTAAAAGGGTTGAAAATTGCTGGTTTTTAGGGATCACTAATCTAGATTTTTTTCCTCCTTCATTTACCCTTTAATCTTGCTTTATAGCCTGCCTTTTGCTGTACTTGTTTCTTTTTTTTTTTATCCTCACCCGAGGACATTTTTCCATTTTTCGTTCAGATAGAGTAGGGGGGAGAGGGGGAGAGGGAGGGAGGGGGGAGGGGGGGGAGAGAGAGAGAGAGAGAGAGAAAGAGAGAGAAACATTGATGTGAAAGGGACACATTGAGTGGCTGCCACCCATACAACCAACCAGGGCTGGGGACAAACTGCAACCAAGGTACGTGCCCTTAGCGAGAACCGAACCCAGGTCTCTCTGGACCACAGGCCGACGCTCTAACCGCTGAGCAAACCAGCCAGGGTGCTGTACTTGTTTCTTAATACCACCCGAGAACTTTGTAGAATGCTGTTTTTGTTTTTTGTTTTTCTATTCGTGGTGACTTCAAATTGTCAAACCCTGTGGCCATTTTACAGACCATACCCACCTTACCAACATTTTCTGCTGTTGACTATTTCTTCCTCAAAATCATATTATTTGGCTTTTATTCTATTTTCCCTTTAGTCCATTTACCACTTTTCTTCATATACCTTCTTTTCTTTGTTCCTAGTTGTTGTTACCTGGGGTTCTGGTTTTCTTCTTGTTTTCACTATATTTCATTTGAAATTAGATTTTCAATTATCACTTGCCATCTTAATACCTAACATTTAATATTTACAGTTTACTAAGTGTCCTTTTAATGCCTTAATATTTACTCATTTAACCCTAAAAAAAACTCAGTAAGTTTGGTACAGCTGGTTTCTTTTGTTCTTGAGTTTTTTGTTGCTGCTGTTGTTGGTTTTTTTGTTCTGTTTTTTGACACTAGAATATTGGGCCCAGAGGTTAAGTAATCATCTATCCAAGATGGTGTAACTAGGAGGGAGCAGAAGTGGAATTTAAACCTGGACAGACTGCCTCTAGAGGCTGTGTTCTTAACCACTTCTGTATCTTTGGCTTCCAGGCATATTTTTAATTCCCTGTTTAACTTTTCTATTTCTTTAAAAAAATCTTTCTTCCTTCCTTCCTTCCTTCCTTCCTTCCTTCCTTCCTTCCTTCCTTCCTTCCTTCCTTCCAGAGAGGAAAGGGGGGAGAGAGACAGAGAGAGAGAAATACCAATAAGAGAAAACATAGATTGGCTGCCTCCTGCATGTCCCCTACTGGGGATCTG